TGTCTAAAATATCCCCATATTAATAATAATAATAATAATAATAATAATAATAATAATAATAATATTAAATAACTTAATTCTCCAATAAAATTCAACATAGTCTCCCGCATTAAAATTTGCAGCAATTTAGAGCTAAACTGACATGAATGATATAATTAGTAAAATAGGGAGTCCAAAGTAGGAGGGGTCCAGCTGTGTCAAACCTGAAGGCTATTTGAAGAGTTTGAGTACCACAAATCTCCACAGAGATCCCTTTCATAGGTCTGAATCCAGCGTTTGCCTTGGAAACAGGAAATAGATGTTCTGTCCAGCTTTGTCCTAAAATAACTGAAGCACTCTGTGTATAATTGTGTGCAGTGGGAATATCCTTTACTATCATGTTCTCACAGAGACATTTCTAAGCTCGAGTGACTCTGAACTCTGACATCATGACGGCATTTTTAACCAGAGATCTGCCGCTCACTGGATATCTTCTCTTTTTCTGTCCGTTCTCTGTAAACCCTGGAGATCACAGTGTCACGTAAACCTCCTTTCCTCCCCTTTCCAGTGCTTCAGTGTATTTAGCCATCTCCACATGCATAAATACATTGAGTTGCTACCATGTGATTGGCTGAATGAATCAGTGGGCTGATTGTATTATTGAGAAGCTGAATCTAATAAACTGGCCAGTGAGTGCAGGTCCCATTTAATCCTAATGATACTTTCTCCCATGATCCTTCAGGGAGAAAGTCAAATTTTTAATTCAGATTGGTAATCGGTTCAGTTTGATCTCTCAGGCTCTCCAAGGTGCTTTCTATCCAAGTTTCTTCTAAGCCAGCATTTATGAGTCATATATAATGTTTTGATAAATGGTTTATTCATATGAAACCATTATGAAACCCTATAAGTGGAGGCCGGTGCATGAAACTATAAATTTGTTCTTCGGGAAACTGTGCTTTCAAATGTGTTCACCTGACACGTTTAAAAGGTGCAACACATGGAGATAAGTGCATGTCTGCTCTAAAGTTTTTAGCTAAAATGTCAATCATGTCGGCCAGCCTTGTGGGGTTTTGAACAGCTGTAACCACTTTCTTTGTTCTTCGATAAGCCAGGTCCAAGCCAGGTCCAGTCAGCCAGAACTCTGTTATCATTGTTCCGAATAGGCAAATCTCGTTCAATGCCCTCCATCAACAGTTGCGAATGACCATCGAGTATCCGGCAGCAAACGTCTCTGCAGGACAATCGGGCTCTCCCGAGCCCAGGCTTCTCGTTTAGAATAGGGTGTCATGTTTTTTAGGGACCAGTTGATCAAATCCATAATTCTTTAGGTTTTAGAGAACAAGACTGAGAGACTTTCTGATGGTGAGAGTTAGATGATTGTTATCCACAGTGGATTTTAAATCAAATTTCAACTTTAATTCAAGGTGTTTAACATACTCAGTCCTCTATTTCAAAGGCTCAGAATTTAAATTCCTTTATTATTTTATGCCAAATTACACATGTGTACAAAAAATGTTGGTACCCTTCAGTCAATGAAAGGAAAAACTCACAATGGTCACACAAATAACTTTCATCTGACAAAATTAAAATTAAATAAAAATTCTATGAATGTTAACCGGTGAAAGTCAGACATTGCTTTTCAACCATGCTTTAACTGAATTATTTAAAAAAAATAAACTCATGGCACAGGCCTAGACTAAAATGATGGTACCCCAAGAAAAGACTGAAAATAATGTGACCAAAGGGACATGTTAATCCAAGGTGTATTCACTATTTGGCTATTATACATGGTAATAGCCCCATGCAGTCCACTTTGGCTCAAACAACTGTCCCGTGGACAGATGAGACAAGAACTGAACTTTTTGCCAAGGCACATCAGCTCTGTGTTCACAGACGGAAAAATGAAGCTTATCAAGAAAGGAACGCTGTCCCTGCTGTAAAACATGGAGGAGGCTCGGTCATGTTCTGGGGCGGCTTTGCTGCATCTGGCACAGGGTGTCTTAATTCTGTGCAGGGTACAATGAAATCTCAAGACTATCAAGCGATTATAGAGAGAAATGTGCTGGCCAGTGTCAGAAAGCAGGTCATGGGTCTTACGACAGGACAATGAGCCAAAACACACAGCTAACAACACCCAAGAATGGCTAAGAGGAAAACATTGGACTATTTTAAAGTGGCGTTCTATGAGCCCTGACCTCAATCCTATTGAGCATCTTTGGAAGGAAGCATGCAGTCTGGAAAAGGCGCCCTTCAAACCGGAAACAACTGGAGCAGTTTGCTCATGAGGAGTGGGCCATAAATCCTGCAGAAGTCTCATTAACAGGAATCGTTTGATTGCAGTGATTGCCTCAAAAGGTTGTGCAACAAAATATTAAGTTGTGGGTCCATCATTTTTGTCCAGGCCTGTTTCATGCATTTTTTTTTAAATAATTCAGTTGAAGCATGGTTGAAAAGCAATTTCTGACTTTCACTGGTTAGCATTCATAGAATTTTTGTTTATTGTTACTTTTGTCAGATTAAAGTTATTTCTGTGACTATTGTGTACCAACAGTTTTGTCCACGTGTGTAAGTAGATCAAAGTTCTGGAGTTGATCCCAAGTGTTAAATTTAAATTTGGATCTCTTAATGTGAGGATCTCTTAATGTGAGGTCCAGACAGATGTCAATGCAAGTGAAGAAAATAAAACCCATCAGAGAGATAGCAAACATCTTAGAAATGGACATGTCAACATTGTGGTACATTGTTAAAATTAATGAATGCACCGACCAACTCAGGAAGTTGCTTTTGAGATGGCTTAAATACAAAACTGAAGACAGAAACAAGCCTCGATTGATTGATTGATAATACTTTATTTATCCCAAGGGAAAGCATCAACTGAAAGTGATGTCCATGGGCTCTAGACTTCATGCAGGCATTGACTGCTAATTATTTTCAGTATTAAGAACATTCGACATATTGAAAAGTAATTTATTAGTGTCAAAAATCATATTTTAACAACAAAACAGAGAAGAGTGGACAACTCCACATTTCAAACGTTCAGTCCAAGGAGTCTTTGGCATTTTTTCTTAATGATTGTATTAAATTTGATTATGGTGTGTCTGCAGGATTTCACATCATCCCCACTGTGTCTCACATCGTGCCGGAGAGTTGTCTGCTAATCTTTGTTGGCCTGCTGGTGGGTGGCATCATCAAAGCGACTGGAGAACAACCCCCCGTCCTTGACTCCAATCTGTTCTTCCTGTACCTGCTGCCTCCTATCATCCTGGATGCGGGCTACTTCCTGCCCATGCGCCCCTTCACCGAGAACATTGGCACCATCCTGATGTTTGCAGTGGTGGGGACACTGTGGAACGTCTTTTTCATCGGTGGGATGATGTACGCTGTCTGTCAGATTGATGCGGCCAAGCTGGCTCACGTGGACCTGCTGTCCTGCCTGCTGTTTGGCTCCATCATCTCAGCCGTGGACCCCGTGTCCGTCCTGGCCGTGTTCGAGGAGATCCACATTAATGAGCTGCTGCACATCCTCGTGTTCGGGGAGTCGCTCCTCAATGATGCCGTCACTGTGGTGAGCAACGTTCGCATTCTCAAATAGTAAATATATTATAATTAAACTCATTCTTTTTAATGTGAATTAATTACTTTTCTATAAAATGTTAAAATATAGTAAAAAACAAACAAACTTTGAGGTGTTGTTATATCCAGTTAACACTAAAAATAGTCAATAGATACAGAAAAGTAGTGAAAGAAAAATAAAGACTAAGCAGGAAATCTCTCAATTTAGGAGGAAAGGAATTTTTTTCTCATGTATAAATTTTCACTTGAGAAAGTTTCTGAACTATAAATTTTCTGCTGATCAGGTAATCAACCCATTAAATAATGAAATTATCAAGATAAAATCAATGTTTTAGGTCCGTGAAACAATCATGAACAAAAGCAAAAGCAAACACAAACACCGCTGTTTCTGCTCCAGGTCCTGTATCACCTGTTTAAGGAATTTGCTCACGAGCAGGCGATTACCGTGACCGGCGCCGTCCTCGGTGTCATCTCTTTCTTCGTGGTTTCCCTGGGAGGTGTCATGGTGGGCGTCATCTACGGCATCGTGGGAGCTTTTACGTCCCGCTTCACCTCATACTCGCGCGTCATCGAGCCGCTGTTCGTCTTCCTCTACAGCTACATGGCTTACCTCTCAGCGGAGATCTTTCACCTGTCAGGGATCATGTCGTAAGTAGACGAGCCCTCGGTCTCTGAGCTTTATGATAAAAAGGTTTGAGTCTCAAACTCACAAAAACTCTGTAGCAGATATAATACACTAGTGTTAATATTTCCTAATGAGAAAGTGAAAACATTTTTGCAAATTTATTAAAAATGTAACTAAATTAAATGTATCTTAATTAAAATCTCTCCCCTTTGTCATATTGTAAACTTGATAAAACATTAATTATCAAACTAATTTTTTATATTTATTTAACAAATATCAGTTAGCAGTTAGGTAAAAATGTCATTTTTATTCATTACAAAACATACCAGCCATTAACAGCATAGTCACATATTTGCACTAATAACTGTGAATTTACCCACAAACCAGGGGCTGCTGGGAAGTGGTGTTAACCTTAGACTGTGTATAAAGAAGGATAATATAACAGTTCCCCTGGATTTAAGTTGAATTATTTAATCTATGAGTTACAGCCCTGTTGTTCTGCTGCTGCAGAAATCAAATTTGCCCACTGGTGGCACCGTGGGTGGATATTTGATACTGAGAGCCTGTCGCCTAAACTGTTCTTGACACTAAGCCAACAGAACCACCCAGCTGTCTGTTTTCTTGACTACATGTGCAGCTTAAAGACGGTGGCCCTTTTACTCCTCTACGTCTGGTGGCTTTGATGCGAAAGGAAAAGAAGACACTTTATCCTTCTTTATATACAGTTTGTGTCGATAAAACCACGACAGACTCTAGGTTTTTGTCTTGGTTACAGCTGAAATCATACATTAAATAATCCAATAACCCTAACTTTAGAGAAACTTCTATCAAACCTCATTACGTTGACTGCTTCTTTCCTTCTTTTCCTTGCCAAACAGTTTGATTGCTTGTGGCGTGATTATGCGGCCATATGTCGAGGCCAACATCTCCCACAAGTCTTACACCACCGTCAAATACTTCCTGAAGATGTGGAGCAGTGTGAGCGACACACTCATCTTCATTTTCCTCGGGGTTTCCACAGTGGCTGGTCCTCACACCTGGAACTGGATCTTTGTCATCTTCACGGTGATCTTCTGTCTGGTCTCCAGAGTGCTGGGTCAGTACAATAAAACACAATAAACCAGGAAGTTCTCTGTTTCTTGCCTATTAGCAACACAATAAACATTGTATAGTAATATATGCTAATCTGAGAGTGCAGCGAAAGCGGAGCTAGGAGCAGCTTGTCTAGCACGCTGGACACAACCCAAAGGTTCCCATGTAATTGAAATGCAGTACAGATTACAGCGTGATCAAAACCAAGCAAGGTCAGTTCTGCTTCATGACAGAACGCTGTTAGAGATGCAGGGAAAGAGGTCAAGCACTGCCTGCCTTGCTTACCCTGACCTGGTTTAATCAGGTCTACAGTCATGAGCAAAGGGTTTTGGCAGTGGTCCTAATGTTTATTTTTTTTATTTAAATTATTCTTCTTTATGTTTTTTATGATATACTGGAGAACAATCACAAGCATTTCATAAGTTCCAAACTTTTTTATAGGCAAGTAAAGTTTAGTTTTGGCAGTGCTTCCACAGCCTTTGGCCATGACTGTAAAACTTCACCCTTTCATTCAAGTAGGGTCCCTTCTGGCTCGAAAGAAATAACATGAAGAGACCAAAACACTAACTTTGAGGCTTTAACACTCAAATCAGTGGGTGGTGGTTTTGATCGCTACTGTTTTTTAGCCATTGGCATTGCTGCCTGAGCAAAACAGAATCTTGCTCCTCTACTTTTTTCCTCATGGGGAAAATCCAGTGGTGAAATTCAATAACCAGTTAAGTGTAGAGACCCAATAAAGGGAAACTGATGATCATATTGATAATGAATTAATCAATTCTTTTTTTTTTCTGTGTTTCAGGAGTCATCGGGCTTACAGCCTTCATCAATAAATTCCGTATTGTGAAGCTGACCAAAAAGGACCAGTTCATTATTGCCTACGGTGGCCTGCGAGGTGCCATAGCCTTCTCACTGGGGTTCCTGCTGAACAATAATGAAATCAAGAACTTGTTCCTCACTGCCATCATCACCGTCATCTTCTTCACTGTCTTCGTGCAGGTGGGAATAACACGAGTACTTGGGATTTAGGTGTATGACAAAAACAACATGGCAAAGGAAAAAGGCTTGCATGTGAGGCTGGACATAAAGAAAAGAGACGTGTATCAGTTGTCTCTTTTATGTTTAATGTTTTTCCCGCACACATTTTTTCCTCTTGACTGGCCTCTAGTTCTAAGTTGCTGTGGCTTCCACCCGTCTGTGTCAACATCAGTAATTATAGTAATCGGTATTTTTATTGGGTATTGTTATGTGAGTGTGTTTATATGTCTAAAATAAATGTGCAGTATGTTTTTTAAAACTTAATTTCTCTTTTTTTCTTCAGGGGATGACGATCAGGCCCCTGGTGGAGCTCCTAGCTGTGAAGAAAAAGAAAGAGAGCAAAGAATCAATTAATGAGGAGATCCACACACAGGTGACAATTTCATTCACTTCGTGTATAAGAAAACACATCAGTCCTTGTTAATATATGAGAGGGATGGGGCTACAGATCAAACAGTGTATAAGATGTATAAATAACACCCTCTGTAAACTAATTTTGCCATCAGTTCCTGGATCATCTCCTCACAGGAATTGAAGACATCTGTGGTCATTATGGGCATCATCACTGGAAGGACAAGTATGTATTTTCTTTCCTAATGTATCCTCTCTATCACCTCCATCTTTGTAGTTCAGAAGAAGCCCTCAAGTTGTTATGCAGCCATGTGAAAAAGAAAATTGTCACTGGTCTTTGTGCAGTCCTGTAAAAAACATGAAGATGACTCAGTAGATTGTAGATCAACAAGTAACTCTAACTGCCAAAACCTCTGCTTTGATAGAAGTGCTCAAACTTCAAGCACATCTGATTAACAGCACCTGGTTGCTACTTATCCTCTTAAGTCCTGGAAGCAGTAAGGGTGCACTCAGTTTTTCACAGGACTGCAAAGTCAGATTACTGTATCCCCCTTTTATAAAACAGAAAAAATATTTTTTTTCTTCTGTATACAGGCTGAATCGCTTCAATAAGACCTATGTGAAGAGATGGCTGATCGCAGGAGAACGCTCCACCGAGCCTCAGCTCATCTCCTTCTACAATAAGATGGAGCTGAAACAGGCGATGATGATGGTGGAGAGCGGGAGCGCCGCCAAGCTGCCCACGATTGTGTCGACTGTCTCCATCCGGTAAATGTCAGAAGCAAGTCCTGCAAGAACTGCTTTCTGTGCATGAGATATTCCCCAAAAACAGTATTGAAGTGAATTACTGAGTAACCCGGACATACCTGTATTTTTTGGGTGAACTAACCCTTAATCCAAATTGATTTTGTGGAGGATGGAGGTCTTTTTGTTCCCCAACATAAAGCTAAGGTTAAAAAACACATCTCAGGAAGTTTTTTTATTATAAGTAAAGCCAGATGCCACCAAAAACACTGATGCTGCTGATCCTCTACATAACAAGTTATCAATTCTCCCCCTCAGCGGATACACTTTGTGCTTGTTTTCTGTGTTAGGCACATTAAAATCTAACTGAATGGCTTTAAAAAAAGTATAAGCTGTGAGTAATATCACACTAATGCAGGTTCTGGACTTTAAATTTGTTCACTGTTTCCAAACAGAAACGTTCAGGCCAAAGGGTCGCCCAAACCGAGCCGAGCCATCTCAAAGAGTCGTGAGGAGGAGATCAGAAGAGTCCTGCGAGCCAACCTGCAGAATACCCGACAAAGGGTGAGGAAGACATCGACGGCTTGTTCAAAATGGATTGGACTAATCTGAATGTTTGCATGCATGTTCATGAGTTGCAAACAAGGTCCATCCTTTTTAAAATAAATGTGCATTTAATACTTTCTTCCTCCTCTGCAGCTTCGCTCGTACAGCAGATATGAGCTGCTAAACGACGCGCTCGAGGACGATATAAGCGAGGCTCGCTTCAGGAAGCAGAAGGAGATGGAGAGAAGGGTGAGTTTAAACAACTCTAAAGCTGTCGACTTAAACAAATTAGAAACATTAGAACATTTCAGATCTGTCCAACTTTTTGTGCATCTAGTTTGAAGCTTTATTTTTTTGTTCCCTGACTACCACGTTTTTAATGTCAAAGAGTTAAAATCAGAGAACTCGCAGAGTTAAAAAGGTCATTTGGGCTAATAAAAAATGCCAATTTACAGGAATGTGTAAAGATTTTAGGCAGTAAAAGTAAAACGAACCTGTCCAGATGAACAGAATCAAGTACAAGATACAAGTTGTTACAAAGAAACAACATTAAATATGAAGGAGAAGTGTAAAAACTCCTCAGCAGGCAGAGCTGAAGGCAGAGAGGAGACACAGAGACAGCCAGTGGGGGAAAAACTATTTTTGTCAATGTCAGTTTTATTTTACAGCACATTTAAAACAATAAGGGGGGTTTTAACCAGCTCCAAAGGAAAGCTCGGCAGTGACCAAACATTATCCAAATAGAATTTTTTTATCTTTTCCAGCCAATTTTGTAAATTGTGGTTTTATTTAATCATAACTGGTACTTTTATTTTTTTAAATCAAATGCATAGCCAAACCCTGCAGAAAGGGATCTTTGCATTGAGAGAAACTTCAGAGAGCTTATTTAATATGTCCTGGTGCTGAGTTTAAAAGTGATTGAACCTCTTGAAAGTGTAATAAAGGTGTTTAACAGACAGTCAGAGGACTCTCCATCCAGCACCAGAATCATTTCAGGACCCATTAGATCCCCCAATCCTTGTGTTTTGCTGTGGATAAGAATCAATACTAAAGTGCTTTGTTCCGTTGTTGGGTGTGACTTCCTGCAAAGTCCTTCTTTAAACTCTGTAATGCTTCTCTTACAGATGAGCCACTACCTCACGGTCCCTGCAAACCGCCAGGAGACGCCCCCTGTGAGAAAAGTATTTTTTCAACCAGGTCAGTCTAAGAGCCAGTTTAAAGCACGATTTTATGAGAATGAAAATTATGTTCCGGCTTTAAAGTCACTCATTGTTTTGAGTTTTGTGCTGCTGGATTCTTTTGGAGCATTTGAGCAGCTGTGTCCTGCTGTCGGATGCAGACCTGGAAGTCTGTGCATCAATACAATACTTTTCTTTTCCACACGGGATATGTCCTGTACAATGATGCAAATATTTTGCATTAAACAGAATGAGTCTTATGGGGATCGATAAAAGGATACCTTTTGTCTTCCACTGTGTCTGCCCTGGATCTTTTCTAATCATATTATCCTGTGTTGGGTATCATATTTAGCTACAAAACTGGCTTAGGATTTTAAAATGGAATAACCAGATTATTATAAACATTTACACCCAGAGGAAAATTAGATTAAGTGGATGAGGTTGCACATTTTAATAACTGTACAAATGTGCGATATTTACCTGCGATTTCTGTTTAATTCTGTTTAATAATGAGGTTATGTTTCCAAAATTAATTTAAATAATATTTCCACCCACATCAGTAAAAGCCTAAAAAAAAATAATATTTTAACATTTTCATTAATAGTAAAGATTAATAAGTGCTTATAAATAGAAGCAAAGGACGATATAAACTATTAAAAGTAAAAATCTGTTTAATTTATTTATTTTTTGGTTATTTTCACTGCAATAATTGTTCTTTTGAATCCTTTCCTATCCTAAAACAATAATTTCTATGTGTAAGTGAATATGCATGCTCTAAATTATTTTAAAGTATAACTGGTGCTGGTGTTCCTAATTAACCAAATCTAAAGGTGTTTGTAGAAGGTGTTAAACTGTTAATGAGCCCCTGCCTTTATTCTCCAGAGCACAAAGTGTACACCTACGATGACAGCGAGAGTCCCCGAGGGCGGGCTTCTCCCAGCTGTGCTGATGATGTCAGCGAGCTGAAGGAGACCCCTGAGAAGCCCGATCAGAGCAGCACGCCGAGAGCCAACAGGGACGCCGAGCTGAAGCCAAAAGAGCAGGACGACCAGGGGGATCAGCTGAAAGTATCACGCTGCCTCAGTGACCCCGGTCCAAACCCGGAGGATGATGAGGACAGCACCTTCCTGCCATGAGTGAAGCACATTTTACAGGAAAGGCCTGAAGACAAGAGAGCTTTAGCAAAGCTTAATATTTATCATTTAAATTGTTGTATGTTTGTGATGTAGGATTATGCAATCTTCGTTCCATACGTTCATAACATGTTTTTTTATCATGCGACATGCAGAATTGCCAAAGCGGGGGACATTTCTTATTTGAAGTTTTTATACCCGCCTGAAGTTTCAGCATTTTGAATTTTAACATGCGCCTCAAACCAAAGCATTTGTTTCAATGAGCTTGAAGCACCAGACGGGTGGAATCTCCTGCCCTGAAAGCACAGATAAGAAACATAATGAGGTAAAGCCCGGCTGATAAACGCCGTTGGCTGCCAGTGTTTGTCTGTCTGGGGTATTTATCACAGACTGAAACATCTAAACAACCTTTTGATGGGTTGCCATGACGTTTTGTTCATCTATGGTGCCCAGAGGATGAATCCTCACAACTTAAAGCCGTCATGGATTACCATGAAGTAATGCCATGAAGTAATGACAGGGGAACTAGAGCTCACATTTTTCCTATATCGACTTCCCTTCATGGGCTCCCTGTTGAATCCAGAACTGGATTTAAAGTATTTCTCTTCACATACAGTTCCCAAAATAAGACCTCATAGTATCATATTATCTTGTCAGAGCTCATTGCTCTCAAACTGCAGGGTTACTTGTGGTTTCTAAAAGTAGAATCAGAAGCTTAGATTGGATTAGACTCAACTTTCCTGATAGAGCTTATAGTTTGGGCTGGATCAGGTGAGGCTGAACCATCTCTTAGATATGCTGCTATAGAGTCAGGCTGCTGGGGGTCTTCCCATGATGCACTGAGCACTTCTTTTTCACTCACCTCATGTCACTCCACATGTGTTTAGAAGCCATTGTTGCATGTCATTTTCTCTTCCACAGTTTGTGTTTTGTCCAGTCTCACCGTGCAGATAGCTGCTCCTCCCTGAACCTGGTTCACGTGGAGTTTCTCCTCCGGACTGCTGGTCAATGTGAGAGCAGCACTTATTATAAAAACAAGCTATATCCAAACATGAGACTGAAGTAAAACATCCAAAACTAATGTTTTCATGACTTAGTCAGTATTTTCAGTGTACATTCAAACTCAGACATATAGACTGTTTTGATTTCAATCAAACAGGACGATTAAACATACTCCATAATAGTCTCTATAAAGACCCACATTCACCTCTCTTTAAGTCTAAAGGAAGTATTCTGAAAATGTTTAGCTGAGCTATAGCTTTGAGTTTTAATAAGCCTAAGCCAAAAGTCCAAAAAAAGATCCCCCTCGTGATCACTTTGCTAAAACATAATTGCCAGGCTACAGAGGTTGAAAACTGCACGGTCAGCCAGATCTGTTCTGCTTTACATGCATCAACCTAAGCGCTATAATCAGGTTTATTATGTGGCACAGTGTGTGGCCTTAAAAGTTCCGCTTTGACATATCTTGGCCAAATTTCTCTAATTGAGAAAAACTGCTATCAAAACAGATTATTTTGCTTTAAAAAAAACAATCTGTATTGTTCCCGAGTCACACTCACATCAGCCTTTACAAAATTCCGGCATCAGATGCATAAATGTTGTATTGTAAATATGTTCGCGCTGCTTGAAGTTTCATGTTGGTAACGAAAAGACCGATCTGATGATCAGAGGCCATTGACGAGCTTAAAATTAAAAAACGAACTGCAGATATTTGTGGACAAGCTTAGCACTGTGTTTATCTCCACAGCTGTCGCTGCATGTCTGATCAGTGTTTTCTCAGGGAATTTGACAGACGGTGTGTTTGTATGACTAATACGTGCTCCACAGTTTATAATGTGCCTGTTTTTGTACGCTAAAGTGTTTTCAGCTCTTGTCAAACCGAACAAGGTGTTGGTGATGTTTCCATGTTTTGTAAACAAAGCTCTTTTTGTGTGTGTGTGTGTGTGTGTGTGTGTGTGTGTGTGTGTGTGTGTTCCTGTTAACTGAGCATGCTCCAAGACCTGTCAGTGTTTAAGAGACTGGACTGCCTGAGCTTTTGCTGCCTGCACACATTTGCCTTATAAGTGTTTTTGCTTTTTATGCTTTTACCAGTTGTAATGTTCTTTATAATACATATTGTTATATGTTTATTTTGCAAAAATAAAAAAATTGTTGAAATCATAAGGGAAAGCTTTAATTCCTGTCTTTAAAAAAAGTTTCTTACTGCTGATTTTGTTTGATTCAAACTGTGCAGGTAGTAGAAGGAGTCAAAAAAAGGTGGAGCAGACTCTACCTGTGTCGCTGCCTGGCTGCAAGAATACTTTAAAGATGTCAGGATTAAAAAGGACATACTGTAATAAGGACTAATGGATGAGTTCAGGCTACTGAGGCCCCTCAGTGGAAAGACAATTAAAGAAATAACAGGGAGTTTGAAATCCCCAGCGTGCCAACCAGCAGCGTGTGATGAGACCGTGACAACATCCTCTGCAGCAAACATGAACTTCAACGGCACCTGGAAAGTTTATTCTGAGGAAAACCTTGAGGAGTTTCTCAAATCCATAGGTAAGATATTTTAAAAACTAAAGGATTATTTATTTCCTGAATATATTAAATGTTTTTTTTGTATTTATACTTTCCAGGTGCACCTCAAATGATTATTAAAATGCGTAAGGAAGTGAAACCGGTGATCATCATAGAGCAGAACGGCAAAGACTTCACCTGCACCGTGAAGACTCCAGCCTGCACCAAAGTCCACTCGTTCAGCCTGGGAAAAGAGTCAGAAATAACAACTGTGGATGGAAGGAAGTTTAAGGTAGTTCAGGGACCTCATGCTCAACACATTTGAGTTTTTAGAGTTTTGTGAATTTTAAATTAATATTGGAAGGAGCAGTGCAGAAATGAATGATGTGATTTATGCAGGCACAGTAAGCAGGAGACGTATCTCTGCTATTTATTTACCTTTTAATATTTAATTGTTATTGACTACAACAATGATTTTGTTCCTGGTTAGTGCATTGTCAGAGAGGAGAACGGGAAGCTGATAGCTGAAAATGACAAGTTTACCTCAGTCAGAGAGATTCAAGGGGATGAAATGATTGAGGTGGGTGGCTCTAATTCTTCTTAAAACTGCTATGAATGTGAATCATCCACGTTCTCCTAATGTGTCTGCTTACTGTTTATATCTAGACTATCACTGCTGGCTCTATAACCTTCACCAGCAGGAGCAAACATGTCTGACCGGCCAGCTCATGGATCCCTCTCAGAATTCCTCATCTGAAGATGAACGGAGTTAACTTATAACTAAATAAATAAAGCTGAAGTTAATAAAATAAAATGTGCAAACACTATAAAACTCGTGTCGTTATTTACTGTAAGGCAGTATTCTGATTGTAGAGGGCGCTGTGGGGATTTTTAAGTGCACGCTTTCATGTAAACGAAGAAGAAGCAGGAAGGCGCCTTTTGAGTGCGCATGCGTTGCTAATTTTTTCCCCCTTCGCAGCCTTTCGTTTTCCCTCTAAAAGAAAACATCCTTCTGCTACGTGAGTGTAACTTTATGGCCAGATACATGAGGCCTCCAAACACGTCTTTGTTTGTCAGGAACATCTCTGATGAGTCCAGGTGAGTCCTCGTAAAGAAGCCGCTACTCGTCTACGAGTTAACTCGTGTTAATTGTAGCTAGTTAAGTTAGCCTGGTAGGCAAGGTAGGCCTCAACGTGCAAACTGAAAGGGTAACGCTGACCGGGAGCAGCGCCGCATTTCAAATCTACGTTACGTTATTTTGGCCATATATGTCTTTGTTGTGGTTTTATAAACATTATTAACGTCTGTGTTGCTCTTTAGACGCGAACTTTTTCATGTTTACAGTCAAGCTATCAAAGCTAACTGGCTAACGAAAGCTGGTAAACAGCTCCGTGAAACTTTGAAAGATTTTAAAGGAGGCAAAAAACCCTACAATGTGGATTTAATATGAAGGGGCAAAAATTAATGGCCTCGGCTAACGTTAACCTAATGTTTGTTGGCCGTTATCAATTTTAAACACGCGTGGTTAATTGATTAGTTACAATCCGAGATGTCAGTTTGCTGATTTAAGTTTGTATATTTAAATGTGATTGGCACAGAAATTCTCATTTAAACTGCCAAAATACTGACCTCAGAATACACGATCGCAAATGAAAGCTCGTTTTAATTTTGTATGTGTAGCTTGTGAATTAATCTGTACCTGTAATGGTTTCCTCATGTATTTGTTATTATCATATTTCATTGTTGTTGTTATATCTAGGTTTAGTCTCAGTGTTAATCTAATCTGACCACACAGGGTCGGTTTAACTTGGTTTTAAAAATACTAAACTTGCTAGATGTGTTAATAACTAGTTAAAGTTTTGCACTAGTATTTAAAAGCAGAGTGAAATGGGTAAATCGATCAGAAATCATCAACATTTTGTTCTCAATCATCTTAGAATTGCCCAAAAAATGTATGGTCCAAAGTTTGGGCATATGCAATGATTGCTGTGATGTTTTAACTCGTATATTGAAAATTAAAGGTCAGTCCAACCACTTTCAGGCTTTTTAAACACATTGCAATCTGAGGCAATATTTAAACATGAACATCTCCAAAACTATTAACAACACAAACCAAAATAAGTATCACTGACCTCTTTCACAACTGATTAACTCTGTTTGACATGGATGTTGAAGCTGATTTTAATCTCACTGACACTGTGACCTGAACTTAATTTCCTTAATTTCTTCAATTTTACATTTGCATCTGTGGACGGCCTTGTAACTGTTTATAATGTGTCAGTGCTACACCAATGACATTAACATGAATTGCATGTTAATATTAAAAAAGTGTGGATATTTTAAAGGGATAGTTCACCTGAAGAGTGTGGCAAACTGTGAGGAGCTTTTTTGCCCCTATTTTCTAAACATTTCCCAGATTATTTTACTAAAGATTTTTTTTATTTGTTTAAACGCAGAAAAAAAACAATGGACTACTAGGCAATGAAACTTCTAAAAATTACAATACCCGTGAGCCTTGGTGGCTTTTGCCTTGGAGAAAAGACCAGTCGACTAAAAATGCTTTACATACAAGGACAAAATCTTATCTGGACACAAAATAAAAGATTGTTTCTTAACCAAATTAACATTTTTAAGCTTTATGTGCACAAGTTGAGTGTTTTTCATTTTTGCAATGACTGTGCACATATATAGGCCACAAGAAGAGAAAACCAGTTTCCTGTTAATTGAGGTCACTTGATAAAACAGAGGGTATTTTGTACTTGAGTAAATTACATCCACAACATGGTTCAAATGCTTTATATTTTAATGACAGTTTTGGTATATTTTTCTTTCTTTGAAGGTGAGAAGCTCTCTGAGTGACATTAAAAGCATTTGTATGAAGGGAAAACCCTGAAGTTGTATTTGATATATGATCAGGAAGTCTTATATTCAAAGGGGATGGATGGAAAATGGGCTGATTATGTGATCACCATTGAATCATGAGCAAAAAATTCAGGCTGTTGATTTCACTGCTCTCTAATATCAAACTTAATGTACTGTGGGGCAGGTTAGTTACCATCAGCTGGGTTAACGTGACACACCTTCGTAATACGGATGTTACCCAAATCCTGCTTTGTCATCCAGGCCTCTCGTTTCTTGGTTGATTGATAAATAAATAAATTTAAAAAATGCCTAAAAGAGCTCCTCAGTGTTTGCCACCTGCTCTGTTTAAAAACAGTCCTGCTGGGATACAAATTGTCTTTGAGCTCTTTTAACAGGTGGATCACCCTCCAGGTAAGAGGAAACAAAATGTACTCTGCGGTGAACTGTCCCTTTATTCAGCAGCTGCTCTTCCAGCTGTTGCCACTGGTTGATGATGTAGGTAGAGATGCCCGTGATGGTCAGTTGAGTTATACTTGTATTTACGGTGTTCAGGCCTGAGGATTTGCGGCGTGAGTTTGGCCGCTATGGGCCGATAGTAGATGTCTACATCCCACTTGACTTCTATACACGTCAGCCAAGAGGATTTGCATACATTCAATATCCTTTCCCAATGACTTTTAACTGTGTATGCTGCTGCTAACAAATTATTTAAATTTCCTTTCGGCAGAGAAGATTTTTATTAATTTATTTTTTGTGATGCATTTTCTTTTTGCACATAATCTGATTGAATATCTAACACGCATATTTCTCTGTTATTGCTTCAGAAAATGTAAACGCGTCCAGTTGTGGAAACCGGCCACAAAGAGTTACAAAGACCCATATAGAGTAGCTGTAAAGACACACAGACCTGCAGGATCAGAGGGAGGGAAAAGGTTGAAAAGAGAAAGTAAAGCATGAAGAGGAAAAAGGGAACGGAGACAAAGCTTGGATTTGGATATGGCGGCAAAGAATGGGGAAAAGAAAAAGAGGTTTAAGAGGAGAAAGCAAGCAGGAAACCCCCGAGTCTCTGTGGGAGTCGGTTAAAGAGTGTAAAGATCAAGATGAAGTTCAAAGTCAAGCATGGGCAAAGGTAACAAGTCTGAATTATTTTGTATCCTCCCATCCACAAATTTGACATGACACCAAAATCAGCTTTCCCTGTGACACTGATGACGATTTAATCCAGTCTTATTGTGTTTGATTTTTATTTTTTTATATATAGTCACTGTCGTGATCCCTCAGACAGTTAGATGATGTGTTTGAGAAGAGCTTGCTTCATCTTTTATCCCTTAAAAAAAAAAAAAAAAAGCAGTCAGCTGAGCGTGTTTGTGTTGTTTTCTCACCTGTCTTACAGTAATGTAAACGGTGTCTTTTTATAAATGTTTTTACATGGTAAACTGGGCCTCACAAATTTAACTAAAGTAAACGTTTATGAAGTGCATGGTTCTTTTTCTTGAGAAGCCTTTTATTTGTTTAGGAGAAAAAAACATTTCTTTAAATTTGTGAGGCCTTAAAAAAAGAGAAAGAAACAGAAACCTTAACCACTCAGCATATTTGAGGACGTGCGTGATGCCGAAGATGCTCTTCACAGCCTGGACAGGAAGTGGGTCTGTGGTCGCCAGATTGAAATCCAGTTTGCACAGGGCGACAGGAAGAGTAAGTGTCTGGTTTTTGTGTCTGAATTAGATTCAAACACTTTGAAATATTTTTGCTGTTGGTTTAAATATTAATCTGTGACTTCCAATGATAGAAAAATGTGTGACCAGCTTGGTTTTATCTCTTTAAAAGGAACCCTGATTATTTATTATTTATTAATATTTAGCTGGTGGTCTCCTCCCCATGAAACATGCCGTTTAAAATTAGACCCATTTCCAACAACATGCCGGTACTCTGTTTTCAACATCTGCAGACACTGAATTTATCTGACACCAGTTTAGTATTAGGAAGCTTTCCTCAGTGTGAAGAACAACTGGAAATTATCCTTTTATTTATAAGGAGACATCAGAATCGACTCTAACATTGTCCTGTTAACTTTTCAAAATATAGAAAACAAGCAGATTTACTGAGTAAATTGGTGAGAATGCATAAGTGTTATTCATGCAATTTATCTGCACTGGTCTCATTTCAGCTCAGTTACGCTGCTTTGGTTGTTGCATGAGCCAACGGTTACATCAGCACACTGGCTTAAGCTGCTGAGGTGTGCTGCAGTCTCATCTGGAAGGATAAATGTCGCCACTCAGGCAAAAACAAATAACCTGCATCAGTTCTGTGGCTCCACACATTTATTTAACATGCAAAAGATTCACGGTTTGATGCCAGGAGGAGACAGAAATCCATTTGTGGTCGCATCAGGACAAACGGTATAAAATCTGCTGAATTAAATATGTGGAGCTACCCACTGTGGCGAGTCAGTGTAGTAAAAGCTTCCCAATGAGCCTTACATTAGTACACTCTTGTTCAAGCTGTTAGGCATCATTACCCAGACTGCACTGTGACATAAACAACAGTCACGAACTGAGACTGAAAGGATTCCCCCTTCCCCCTCAACGTTTTAACAACCAAGAAATCTGCAGTATGCGTCGTCATAGTCGGGGTTCCTTTTAAATCACGTTTTCAGATTTGTTAAGTGTTTAAAATTAAGCATCAAGCATCATGGTTTTAATTATTTTCTGCTTTAACCACTTCTTCCTCCTCTTCTTTTTCACCAGCACCAAATCAGATGAAATCAAAGGAGCGGCGTTCCCCAGGAAGATCCTCCCGGTATGACGACTACGATCGAGACAGCCGGCGCCGGCGGTCACGCAGCCGCAGTTACGAAAGATACAGGTCGCGCAGCCCGTCTTACGATCGCCGCCGCAGACGTTCGGAGAGTCCTCGAGAGTGAGTTAATCTCTTAGAAGAGAGTCGGTGGGTCCCAAGTGTTCTTTGTGAGAAGGAAAATAACGTTTTCATTTTTCCTTAGGTCTCGTGGACGGGTGTATGGAAGAGGAAGAAGCAGGAGCCGCGAGGATGACAGGTACAACTTCTCTTCTAGACTAAGACCACATTTACACAGATGTAGCCTGTCTGTTGTTTTGCTTCCTAAAATCCATCTTTGTAATGTCCTACTGCAACCAGAAGGTGGAAGTAATGTAGATTTTCTTTGCCAACAACCATTAAATGGCAAATAGGATAACGTGAGACTAAATGCCCTGGAATACCCACGTCACAATACAATACAACACTTGTGTCCTCAGTTCAGCTGCAGCGGTACAACACACCAGGTTGGATAAATCGAGAGGTGCAGAAACAGCAGCTTGTTAATTTGACGTCAGGAAAGGCGAAGGCGACTCCAGATGGTAGAAGGACTCGAAGGAAATAAATGAAATGAGTTCAATGAAGAAAGTGTTTCTCTGCAGTTGACAGCTGCTCATGTCCATAATCGCAGTTAACACGAGTCCTTTATTTACTTATTTTTTTCATCGACTGCCATTTGTTTTTGAGACAGCTGCAGAATGAAGACTGTAGTGTCCAGATGAACTGAAAGATGCAGGTTGGGTGTAAAGCAAGGTGTGACGCGTTTATTTATTTAAAATACAGAAGGAACCAGGTGGTCCAGCCATCGTGGCTCTATGTTGTGTGTGTCAGCATCAAATTGTTGGACAGTGTCAGTCTTAAACCATTTGGCGCACACAGCAGCACAGCTGGGTGAAAACTGGTAGCTTCATGAACTGGATTTTAAGCTCTTTTGTACTGATGTGGTGATATTATTGAACCCCACAGTCTTTTCCTCCTTTACATAGATTACTGTTCATGTTATCCATGTTCTACCAGTTATTGTTAGATCTAATATGCGTCATTTCATCTGTAACGGTGCCCACAAGTTAGAAATTCATGGGATATCATCAGATTTGACTCTTGGGGAGTAACCCTAATGATCCTTATGCTCCGAGGAGGAAATTTCACATTTAACACTCATCGGTTTTCAGTTTTAATGAGAGAAGAGGCGGAAAAAATAAGGACCAGACAGTCAATCACGTCACCCCACAGCCAGTTGAAAGTAAAATCTGATCTGCACTGCATCTAAAAGTGTGACGTATCACTCTTTTACTTTGTGTGCCTTCAGATACAAGCAGAGACCCCGGAGAGTCTCCAGAGAGCGATCCCGCTCCAGATCCGCATCTCCACGAGAGAACATCAAACCGCCGTCCACCTCCCGCTACGTTGAGGAAGAAGTCCGACAGACGCATTCCCCGTCCCGCTCCAGGTCCCAGTCTGCGTCGAGATCGCACTCTCGCTCACGTTCTCGGTCCCGGTCCTGGGCCGGGCGCAAGACAGGAGGACGCTAAAGCAGAACCCACTCCCCACCCCGTTCCCCCGGTTCTGTCAGACAGAGCAGAGCTGGTCGTTTTGTTAAGTAAAGGTGTTTGTTTGCCATGAATGTAACGTCCATTTGTAGAAAGCTCGTTTTCGCTATTCCATTTTAAGAACAGCGCTGCAGCTCCTCGGCTTGGTTTTATAAAGTTGTTCGGTGATATTTCTCTTTAGGAGCAAGATTCAGCGGTTTCTGCGCTCAGCCTGACGGGAAGAATATCCAGTCTTTTTTATATATACAACCAGTTACTGATGATTTTTGTTTTCTAAACCCTATGCACCCACTTTTGCTAAACAATCCCTGACATTCAGTATTCTAAGGAAGTATTGAGTCTGTTGGTGAACCAAATGCATCTTTGTGTGTTTTATAACTAATCATGTACTAGGTACTTAACTGTCAGCCAGTTTCACCGCTGTTTTTTAAATTTACATTTGTTTGACAGCGATAAACCATCACCATGAGATAAATGTGTTCAAGGGTTTTTTTAAAGATGTTTTATGGAAGAAACCGAGAACTTCTTGAAAGAAAAGGAATTAAAGCTGATGGTGTGCGTCTGCAGTTTAGTCAAGTACATGAGCTAAAACGCACAGAGGTGATGCTGGGGTCCCTAAAGTGTTAAAGACGTCAACAACAAGCTGACCTATACGGTCGTTTGTTTTCTCTTTGTGGTGTTTTCTGTAAGAGTTAAACCTTTTTTTTTTTTTCTGTTTTCCCCCCAAGTTGTTGTTTCTTTGAGGAGAAGCAGGTTTACTTGACGGTGTTTTTCAGAACAACTCGTGTCGCTGCATGTTTTATTCTTATCTTCTATCTTTAGTAGGGAAAAAAACTGTTATTTTGATTAATAAATGGTTAACTTTCGGTTAAAGAAAACATTGCGTGGCTTGTTTTTGTACTTGCTTGACCAAAGTTCATTATTGAACACAATTCAGAGTTTTCTCCTCCTCGGAGACCTCTGTGTCCTGTGGATCCCCAGCGTCTGCCTGGAAAACGGAGCAGGACAGTCTGTGAGCACGGCCCCGTCCATCGATTTCCTTTTAATGGAACAACTGAAATTAGATTCTCAGCAAGGAGGCAGCCATGGATGAAATCGGACGTGTCTCATTGATCGCTGTACTGGAAAAATGCATCAGTCAGATGAATAAAGCTGCAGATGGTGGAAGTCCTTATCAACCATGCAGTCACCAGTATGAGCATAATCACAAAAACAAGAGGCTGCACCACGATGATGCTGTAATCAGACGGGTTTCTGGGTTTCTCTCAGTCCCTGCCACTCCTGGTCAGTTTAATCCAGCTGATGTCAGTTATCCTTAAACCCCTAAAACTCCTGTTTGGACTTTTTGTACCTGCCACCTTCTAAAAAAAACACACATACACACAAAATGTACAGAGATGAGCTGTAATGGCTGAAGATCGAGCTTAATTTATTGTTTCTACTGCTTTTCTATCTGAGCAGAACTGAACAGCTACATCACCAGTATCATTTAAGGTGAACTATGAGGGGGGTTCAATACTCAAGATCAGGTTTATTTTCAGTATAAGGCTGAAGATTTGGTAAACAGACTGATTCCTATAACACATTTCTATTTGAATACTTTAAACATGTCTCAATCACACAAGCACTTTCTCTGTTTACACTGCAGTGAACAGGTTGGGAGCATAAACACATACTCGGGGTTCAGTGTCTTGCCCAAGGATACTTTGACATGCAGACTAGAGCAGCTGGGTTCAAACCACCAGCCTTCCGATTCAAAGATGACCTGAGCCACGGCCATCTATGTTTAATAATTAATGTGTTAAGAAATTAGTTGTGAGGCGGGGCTCCTGGAAGAGCTTAAAAAGTTCTGTGTGAATGTAGGGGAAAATATTCCAGCCTGCAGGGTTGGAACCGTAGATGATCATTATCAGGACATGACCCCAGGCTCACATTGTTGTGATTTACACCACCACCAACCTGCCTATTCAGTGTACTGTTTCACTGGTTAAATATAACAGCCTGATGTTTGAACACCCTTATTTTTATAAGAATTATTTGCTTGCTGTAGCAGAAATAGGAAACAAAGATAAAACAGACAAACACTGGTTGTACATTTTACTCTACATAAATCAAATAAAAAAAAATTCTGGTTGATTGATAGATAGGCACAATAGACAATTTATGATTGGCAGGTTGACAGATGAGGTCAGGCAGGAGTCTGTTCGCAGACGACGTTGTGATCTTCAGAGGTGTTAGAGAACCTGGAGAGTTGGAGGTATGAGCAGTCAGTAGAAGCAAGACTTGCCAGATGGCAGCAAGACCTGTTGTGAGGAGAAGATTCATGAGTGTGGTGGAGGAGGGTTGGAGTGACAGAGGACGATACTAGGGACAGGGTGAGAGGGAGGCAGGGACTGTGGGGTCCCATAAAGGGAGCAGATGAAATCCATTATGCAAGAAAAACTCTGCAAATTACAAAGTTCCTTCATGGAGGAAAACAAAATGAATAGATATGCATCTATGAAGGTGCATTAAGAAAAAAATAGGATTTTTCTTTGAATTCCTCATTAATTTGTGCAATTTTAAAAACATATTCTGGTAAATAGTCAAACAAATATTCATGAAAACAATTAGCCTGAAAAAACAAACATGGAGGCGCATGTAGTAAAGCTCTCTATTGTCTATTGTGACATCTGTTGTTGGAGGTAGAATTGAGGTTCTGTAAAATTAATATCTCTAGTTTTGGGAGTACCGGTCTTCAATTCGTTTGTTTGTTTTGTCCTCGGGTAAGATCCAAAAATATCCTACTGTTTAGAAAATGAGAGCGCCGTCTCAGAACCTATATTCCCACCAAGGCCCAGCCCAGTGCACCCAGTTCTGTGCTGCTTTCATCTAAATTCAGAGGATCAAACCAGTCCAGGATCCTCTGGGTTCAACCAGAAATAGGCGACAGACAACCAAATATTTTGGAGCACATTTCACCCCTGATGACTCGCAGGAACTGGCAGGTCGTCCATTCATACTGCTGCGAGGTAAATGGCAGCAGACCATTGCCACGGAATTGATTGATGGTGTTTCACACTCTATAAGTCGAGAAGAGTTAGTGCCAGCTCGCCTCATTTGTTTTTGCCCAGTTCGTGACCAACAGCAGGGAGTTATATGTCTACCAGTGGGAAGATTTTACCTTTGATAAGAGATGAAAAATAAAGAAAAAATGCTTTCATAGGTCAGAAATCGGCAGCGTTACATCAAAAAGGCCTTTATGGTTACATTTTATATGGAAGATAAAAGGTGAGTTAATGCTAAGTTATTGATTTGTATTTAAAATGATCGGTTGTGTCTGGTTTTACTCATTTATCTGGAAGGTTTTATAATGATGACACAAAATAGTGGTGAATAGACTCCTGTCTCAAATGGTGTCTGCTGGGCTGTGGTTTAGTTGTAACTCAGTAAGCTGGGGCTTTTATTCTGAAGGAATGATGATTACATTTAAAAGCATCAGCAGTGAAATGTAACCTAACAGTGTTGTATTTTTTCTTAAATCACACTATAAAATAATTACTGCTGTATCAGCATGTAACAAGCATTTTAAAGCCATTTTTCTTATGTTTCAGCTCATTTTGAAAACTAGCTTTGCCGTGTAAATTTTGAATATTTAAAAAATAAGCAATTGAAGCTCTTCTCTGGGATTAGGTTATTCTCAGATATTAGCTGGTATATGCTTCTTTGCATCCTTTTTTTAAAACTTGTTCGCTAATTAACAACTACACAAAAAATGTAAATACATCACACATTAAAAAGATGATAAGTGAAATTTTTCTAACCTTAAAGAAAGTGACTTATTTTCATGCTCAAAATGAAAAGCAGCAGACAAATGTTCAGGTTCACACTGAAATAAAGATCTAACTGATGTGAATGAATTTTTATACCTTCTAAATTACACTGTGCTGTTCTGTTCCTTTGATATAATATAAAATATCAATAAACCATTTTAAAGATAGTCTTAGTCAGTAGTGTTCGTCTCTATCCATAAAAACATGCAAAACCTTTAAATACACCCGCGTTCCCCTTCACAGTTTTCTCCTTTTGTTCTACGAAAATCCTGTTCTGACCACTGGCACATGTGCATCTGTGATTTCTCCACACGTGAAAAGCAAACATCAGCTTCTGTTTCCAATGGGCTACATGGACTTGTACTTTTCAGGATTGTAACGCTGCATCCTGTTGCATGTGAGGGCAATCTTCAAACTTGTTAATGGATTAGCTGCAGCTCAGGAGGTAAAGCAGGTCACCTACTGATCGGAAGGTTAGTGGTTCGATTAGTAGTAGTCCCTGGCTCCTCCAATCTGCGTGTCAAGTATCCTTGGGCAAGATACTAACCCCAAATTGCTCTCCGATGCATCCGTCGGAGTGTGAATGTGTGTGAATGTAGTTATAAAGCACTCAGTTTAGAGGGAGTGCTTGTGAGAATGGGTGAATGTGGCATGTTGTATAGAGTGCTTTGAGTACTCCGGGAGAGTAGAAAAGCACTATATAAGAATCCATCCATTTACCATTTTTTCATATACAGCGCTTTCCTACTATACCTGAGTACCGGAGCTTTATACAACATGCCCTTCACTCATTCATTCATTCAGCTATTAATCCAAGCATGTTCGCACACATACAGACTCTGATATTTACTTGGGGTTCAGTATCTTGCCGAAGGATATTTGACCTCCATCTACCTCCTAAGCTGCAGCCGCCCCATATGTGGTGTGTGTCTCGCTTTAACTGTGGCTTACTACCCACCTTAAATGACAAGGAGCCAGACTTATTGCAATTATTTTAAAGTGGTCTTGGGCAGTAATTCTCCAGACTTTCTGAAGAGCTTTCAAAGTTTATCTTTGTCACTTATCAACAGAGAGCTACAACAGTGAAGGTCTACTGGCATCTGTAAAATACGGTGGGGGCTGTCAATGCATGGGGCTTAATTTCAGCTGGTGTTGTTAAGGATCTGCTGAAAAGTACCTTCACATTTTGATCTATCATGCAACACCATCTGGGATGAATCTGATTGGCTTCCTTTTTTGTTTCACTGCCAATGCAGTAAAAGCATCCCCTAGACAGTGGAACATTACTGAAGCAGTGTGGGATCATGTTTATGGAGTACATAAAAAAGCAGCCAAGATCCAAAGAAGAGCTTTGAATGTCCTTTAGGAAGGTTGAAAGGTTCTCATTCTGACAGAGAGAAGGTGAGATCACAGGTGCACAGTGCAAGTGGTTAGAAGAAACACTGAACTCCTAGTATATAAATGAGTTTCTCTCTCTTTTTTTGTTACAGAGCTGCTAAAGTAGAAAATGGGAGACTGGAACTTCCTTGGTGGGATCTTGGAGGAGGTGCATATCCACTCCACCATGGTTGGCAAGATCTGGCTGACCATCCTGTTCATATTCCGAATGCTGGTCCTGGGCGTCGCCGCAGAAGACGTTTGGAATGACGAGCAGTCTGACTTCATCTGCAACACCGAGCAGCCGGGGTGCCGGAATGTATGCTATGACCAGGCCTTCCCTATTTCCCTCATCCGCTACTGGGTGCTCCAGGTGATATTTGTGTCCTCGCCCTCCCTGGTGTACATGGGTCATGCCATCTACCAGCTGCGGGCTCTGGAGAAGGAACGCCACTGCAAGAAAGTGGCTCTCCGGCGGGAGCTGGAGGCGGTGGATGCAGAGCTGACAGAGGTGAAGAAGAGGATTGAAAAGGAGATGAGGCAGCTGGAGCAGGGGAAGCTCAACAAAGCACCACTGAGGGGCTCTCTGCTGTGCACCTACGTGGCCCACATTGTTACGCGCTCAGTGGTGGAGGTCAGCTTTATGACGGTTCAATACATCCTGTATGGAAACCGCCTGAGCACCATTTACAAGTGCGAGAGGGAGCCGTGTCCTAACGTGGTGGACTGCTTCGTCTCGAGACCAACAGAGAAAACTGTTTTCATGATGTTCATGCAAGCTATCGCCTGCATCTCTCTCTTCCTCAGTCTGCTGGAGATCATGCACCTTGGCTTCAAGAGGATTAAGAAGGGCATTCTGGACTACTACCCACACCTGAAGGATGACCTGGACGATTATTATGTCAGCAAGTCGAAAAAGGACTCAGTGATGCATCAGGTTTGCATGGGAACGACTGTGGGACGCAAGAGTACGATTCCCACAGCACCAAGCGGGTACACGTTACTGCTGGAGAAACAGGGCAACGGACCCAACTACCCTCTCCTCAACGCCTCCTCCGCCTTCGTCCCAATTCAAGGGGACCCTGGTGGAAAGCCGGACAGTCAAAAGGAGGGCAAGGAAGGAGTCCCGAGTCCCACGGAGCACAACAACAACTCCAACAATACCAGCAGTGAGACGCGGTCCCCTCCTTCAGACAAACAGGAGCAACGAGAAGATCAATCCCCACCACATCACGAGGACCTGGAGCGTGCAAGATCTGAGTACCCCACCCTGCCTGTTTCAGATGCCTCCTGCAGCACAGCGCTGTCAGGCTTCACGAGGAAGACACGAAGGATCACCCCACCGTGGAACTGCTCCACAGTCGTGGAGGGAAATGGCTCAGACAGCGGAGACTCCTACAACGGGAACAACAGCATGAAGCTACGAAGCGGCGGCGGCCCCAGAGCAAGGATCCTCTCCAAGTCAGACATTAAGAGACAGAGCAGACCCCAGAGCCCGGACTCTGCAGGGGAGCTGAGCTCTATATCTCGACACAGCCGGGAGAGCAATAGTCCCGCCGCCTCCCCACCAAACCGGCGAGTGTCAGCTGCCAGCAGCGCCAGCAGCAGACGAGCCCCGACTGATTTACAGATATGAGGACTGCTTAGAAGAAGCCATTAAAACACTATTACTGCACCTTTTTCACAGTTTAGACTTCTTTAAGAGACAATCACAAAAAGCCTGCAGAGATTATGCTTGTGCCAGACATTCTCCAGTCTTAGAAAGAGCATATGACAAACAAGCAGTCTAACATCTACTCTTCCTTTTAGAGGGATTCATACTAGGATGCACAGCCTTGTTTTCTCAGATTTCCAGGTCAGTTTCAGGCTTTCAGAATGAGCTTCAACCCTCAAACAATCAAGCTATAAAGCTATGTTAGCAGCTGACATGACTGAGTGGGGCCTCATGATGTTTGATGATAAGTCGATTTATGAGTAATTCTGAAATGTTTTAATGGTCAAATGAAGGCTGAAGGGTCACACACGCTGAACTGTTTAACTGAAACATGCACCTAGCACTGAATTATTGCTAAACTTAGCTATCACAGATAAGAATGGGTCCTTGTCTCAGAAACCAACTTAAGAAAATGCCGACTTTTATGTTTGTGTGGTGCACTGTGCGCTAAACACATCTGCTCAAATGCTTTATTAACCTTTCATTTTTTCATATTTACAATTAAAATAAAGGCTTGCAGGTAATTCACAGACAGTATAAAAGATGGGCAGGGAACTGTAGCATCCTCAGTGGCTAACAAGCTATCAAGTGGTAAACCAATGAGCATTTCCTGGATAATCCTTCTTCCTTAGAATATCCATTTACTTCCTGTTTTTTGACTTAATGTTTTAATAATATGACCCAAACGGAGTGACTTAACCCATAAACTATTTGAGAAAGTGTTTGCAGAGCTCAGGGCAGAGGGCTGCTTCCCCATTGACTTCTTTGAGACCCAGGTTGTTTTTGAAATCACAGGAATCACCCCCTGGTGGACATTAGTAAGAATGCAGGTTTAAAGCGTTTCTGCATTGGCTTCACTTTTCAGACCTCGAACCTGCGCCTATGTTTTATACTGTCTGAGAGTTCATAGCAAGTGTTGTTTTCTCTCTTTTGACCTCGACTTAAATAACAGTACTGACTAGGATCATTTACCTCATTAACATAATGCCTTTTATAGATTTCTTTCTTTTCTTTTGACAAGGGGGGATTTTAGTTTGCCTTTTAACTTGTCAGGGGTGAGACTGAGCGGGCCCACTGGCTGGTGGAGACTGATTTTGCACCTCTGCATCATAATTATGATTTCAATCATTTTTATGCAACAAAGAAGTCAACTTGAGTCATCTGTTTTCTTTGTTACGTTTGACATGAAATATCTTCAAGACTTTTCCAGCAGTAAATTTCACTTGCAGCAAAACATGACAGTGGTTAGAAAATAACATGCATATAAGCCACAATGATGTTTCCATGACTGTTGCCACACAAGTGAGCCAATTCCTGCCAACAAGTGAGTAAATCTGTAGGATTTACAGAGAATGGTCTGAAAAACAGAATACCCAATGAGCAGCTGTTCTCTGGGTAATATGATTTGTTGACTGGGAGCAGCCAGACTTCCCTGAGATTAAATGACAACAGTAATTGAAATAACAAATCATTACAACAAAGAGCATCTCTGAACGCACCAAAGCTTGAAGCAAATGTGCTACAGCAGCAGAAGACTACATCGTGTGCCGCTCCTGTCCACGAAGAGCAGGAAACTGAAGGTACAGTTCACACTTACTCACCAAAATCAGACAACTGAATACGGGAACAAACCTGCCTGGTCTGATAAGTAAAAATTACTGCAATGCCATTTAGATGGTAGGGTTAGAATTTGGTGTAGAAAAACAGAAAAGGATGGATCCAACATGCCTCAAGTCATGGTTCAGACTGGGAGTGGTGGTGTAGATCAGTGTGATTTTCTTGCCACACTTTGGGCCTGTTATTAGCAAGTATATGTATCTAAGAAATAACCAGAGTGCACACATGTTCTGGTAACTACTTCCTGCAGGATCCTTTGTAGCCAGACACTTCAGTCAGTCGCAGCATCTGAATTCATCCATGATGAAGCTTTAATAACAAATGAAGAATTTCCATCAGCAAAATCAAGGACCTTCAGGACAGAAAGGCTGATGCTGAAATGTCATTTTTAATTTAGAGAGCTTCTTGTTATACAAAAAAAACAAACAAAAAACAAAAAAAAAAGACAGTGATTTTGCATTCACTGTACATCCATTGTTTAATAAACATTTACATACAAACAAGGCTTTAGTAACATTTTTCTTTTTATTCCTCCACAAAAGCAAAGAAAACCTCTACTCTGCTGCTTCCCCATCAGGCGATGGTTCATACTGCATCAGCTGGAAGATGAGGAGGAAAACGAGAAGGTTAAAGGTCACAGAATCCAGACCAAATATAGACATGTGATTATCTGTAAACGCTCACCCTGCTCCTCAGCTCTTTGTTCTCCTCCATGAGCTCGCTGCACTTCTGTTGTAGGTCAGCCAGCTCCGTACGAAGAGCCTCTGTGTCTGCTGGCTCTGGACCAGCTGCCCCGAGATGAAGCTTTATGAAACTGTTGCCATGGTTAAGGTTAACGACTGCATGGAAATTTTACTCATCAATACTATCTAATTTTATTAGAGCAGAACAAGGTCCAACTCGGTTCTGCATGTTAATTCAGGAGAATGATGATCCAGTTTGTAGGTTGGAGAGACTGGTGCAGGAGAATGACTCCTTAGCTTAAGAACTGTTGGCCTGTGACAGACTCACCCACTGCAAGTATCCTGCAGTATTTAAACATGTGAAGAACAACACAGAATAAATCAAACCCCATGAACAGATTACAAAAAACCCCTTAGAGTTTAAATCTGCTGCCATAACAAGAAACTGGCTTTTCCACAATAAAAAAGGCCGAGTGATTATTTGGTCTAGCCTACATCCTTGCAGTATACCGAGATGCACAGAACATCAACATATTGATGAATTTTGATGCAGTTGATTTCCCCTATCTACACAGCTGAAGAATTGGAGATGTTAAGATTTTTATTGTGAATTAAAACTCAAAGTCTTAAAGGCTGCCATTCATCTCTAAATGGACCAGGAGTCACCTCATTGCCCATCTGAAGGTTTCAGGGGACAACGGTGCATTTAAATAATCGATTTGACTGCAATCGTAACATTTTAAGACTGATAATACCATAAATAAAAAATAATAAACTATTTTATTTTAAATGCAGTGGTTTAAGCTCTAAACCTGTTTATATTGAGTGAAATTTTGTGAAAAAGTATTTGCCAACTTCCAGATCTTATTGTTACATATTTGCTGCATTTAAATATTCCACATGATCAAACAAATATTGGACAAAAATAACCTGACTGTCCACTTCCTAATGACTCAAATAATAATGAAAGTTTTGGAAGGCTTTATCTAGTCAAAGTTTGGACTTAAACTGGCTAATCGAGCTAATAAACAATAAACATAACAATAAAAAAATAAAGTGTGGCTGAAGTAAACCAGTTTTGCAAAGGAGAGCGAGCCAAAATTCCTCCATAGTGATGTGAAAGACTTGTTACTAGTTATACCAAAGAGTTGCAGTTCTTGCTGGTGGCAAAACCAGTTATTAGGTTTAGGGGGAATCACTTTTTCCACATAAGGCCTGGTAATTCTGGATAACTTTTTCCCCTCAATAAATGAAATAATAATTTAAAACCTGCATTTCCAATATTAAAACACAGTAGATCTGAAACATACAAGTGTGACATATCTTTTTTGCTTTGAAGATAGAGCCACATCAGAAACTAATTGTTACCACCTGAGGTTGTAGTAAGGCTGCAAAAATGAGAAAAGGATACTCCAGTGCATTGTTAGGTTTCTCAGGCTCCTCAAAAAGAGCAACTAAAACTGCAAGAAAGAGGGGGAGCACGGATATCAGTAAAAACAAATTAAAAGACTGTTTCACAGAATGCATTATCGTTAATGTCACCAGGCTGAACGGGGGGGTCCATTTACCGCTTGTTAAGGTGTCGAGGACTCCAGATTTTTCGAGGTACCTTCTAAATTGCTCCCGCTTCGACTCAGAGGCCTGAAAAAGACAAATAGTTGGATGACACACAAGTTAGGAGCCCATTCATACATAAAGAGCGCTATAAAAACTCCTTGCACTGAAGTGTTTTCAGCCCATGGTGCCTTCACTGCCTTCCGCCGTGTTGGCGAGCAGGGGTCACGTTGTTATGACGCTAGCTAGCTAGTTTTACAAACTTTAAATGTACCACGTAAAACATAAAAGCTACAGAAAGTAAGGCCAAAAATACTTACTCTGTATTGAGCCATGACTTCAATAATAGCCGTGTAACTCCGGGTCGTCTACAATGTGCGAAACGGAAAATAACTCGGGACTAGCTGCAGCTGTTTGAATGCTACGCAGGAGGTGACTCTGTTGCCATAACAACACATCAAATCACGCGGAAATGAAGTTCTTCCGATAAACAATCAGCTTGTAAAAGGAGAAGAAAGACTACAGAGTAGCTGTCAAAATAAGATACATTTAAACAATAAAGAAACGTAAGTTGTTCCGTTTGCGAGTAAACAACTGAAACGCCTCAGACATCGAAACGAGACGATGAAGCTGTGTTGCCAGATTTGCGTCACGGGCATGCAGAACCTACCTACCATATTATGATTTTTCGTCAGTTAAGCAACAACCCATTATAATTGGGAAATAAAGCAAGCCGAATTTTGTGTTAGGAGCTCCTGTTTGCCATGTACTACTGAGTGCTCTAAAATCGAGTAATGGATTGCTCTGATACCGAAGGTATCGTAAAAATGTCATAATTCACTGTCGAAGTCTTTTTTCTCGGGTTTCTACACTGGCATATTCACGGTACTCTTGAGAGATATAGTCACCCTCAGGAAAAAAAAAGTCAAATTAAACTAACAAATAAATACGTGCAACTTCTCTGCTTTTTTTGTGTGTAATTTAGTTTCTATATTTAAATGGATTGGCCTCGCTGCTGCCACCCCTATCTGGCAACACAGGAAGGTGAACGCAAGCCTTCACGGAAGCGCGCTACCAGCGCAACGTCCGATTTATAAAACATATGAGCTGCAGTCATTGGATAGTCTAAAACTAGGCGTGGTTTATCCATCGATCGGCCCCTTCCCGGGGCTCACATGACTTGGGTGTAAAAACATCAGCACGGAAAGGAGTTTCTATTGTTTCGCCGGCTTCAACATGACAAGTGTCAAGTGTTAAGCCTCCTGTGCTTCTACCTCCAATAAACCCTATGGAATAAGAGTTTATAATAACAAGGTAAGCTGATATAACAAGGTAAGCTGCTTTTGATCGATATCCGGTTAATCAGTGACACATTGTAGCTGAGCTGTTAACAAACATTTCCTGGCTAGTGCATTTAACAGCTAGTTCTAGCTTTAATTGGAAACGTTTAAGTATATTAACACTTATTTAATGTGTCTGAATGTTGATATAGAGTTACAGTTACGTTATTTAGACATATTACAGCATGCTGTGGTGTGTCTCAGTGTGGGAAAGATGAGTTGATTTAGCTCCGTTTCCTAAAATATTTAATGATATTCATGTTACATCTACTGAAGGATGAACAGATGCTGTTTCTAAATATTATTTAGTTGGATTTATATTGAGTTATATATATATAAAAAAAAATATAACTCGTTAAAACGACAACAAGTTCTGTAGTAGGCGGTCCCCAAAAGTTTTTGTAAATGCTTTAAGAGGTTTTATCTTTCTCTGCCAGTGCTGCTAATAAGACTTATTCAGCATCACGTTGGACTACACAGTCCATCACACAATAACATAAAAACAAACTTTAACTTCCAGTTATGGATGGGAATATAATCTGCCAAACCTCGAAGCTGTGTGGATTTACATAAAGTTATGCATATGAACATTTGAGATCTGGTTATCCGTCTTTACCTTTTCAAACCCAGTTCCCTCCAAACTAAGCAGCAGAAAAAGTCAGTGTAATAATATGTTTACTATTCCTGAAGAGGTGAAATGTGCTCTGAGGATCATGATAGACTCTCACACACACACATTTGCACACACGCTCACTCGGAGTGCACGAATCACATAAGGCAATAATATAAGTTTTGTCATACAAAACTCTTAAATGGATTAACAGAATACACATTGTGGGAGCCATCTGAGGATAACTGATAATAATCAGATTAAAGTACCTGTTTAAAGGTCATATTAATTGTGGATATTTTCTAATATTCTTATCCTGATTGGGCTCACTTTCTCTCAGGGTTATTTTTTTATTTTGTTTTAGTTCTTTTTCTGTGTGTGTGGTAACCATAAGTTTGAAAATACAAATCTGGAAAGTTCACGGTACATTACAACAAAAAGGTGAGCCTATAAAAAAGTACAGACTTTAAGTGTCATTACTCAGTGAGAGTCTCAGGTGTTTTTCCACACAGCTGGCTATTCAAGTTCGCATACTTCTCAGAGTGACATGGCAAATTTAAAGTAAATCAAAGAGGAAAAAACTTCTTACATTTAAAAAATATTAAACTCTTTGCAGATTTAATGACTGATTATTTGCATAAATTATTGTTATTAAAGAAACATGTCAGGCTGTAGCTGGATCCAAAGTGGAAGTGGAAAACAGGGGGGGGCAAAGATTAATCCAAAAACACCCACAAGGTGCTGGGGAAACACAGGAGGAAATCACAGCACACATGACAGCAAACACCAGAGCAAAACAGAAGAGAAAACCTGACACTATCAAAGTAAAACAGGAAACAACTGAAAGGCAGAAACAAAGCAGAGAGATGAGCAGACTCACACTGGATGTAGAGACAGTGGAAACAATGTGAGAGACTAAAATAAAACTGAAATAGAACCCAAAAAGTAATGACATTTCACCAGGACGTTCACAAAAAATGGGAACAGGATGCTCGAAGTCAAATGACCATGACATCAGAACCAAAACTGTAGGCAACAATAAATACTTTTTATTTTTTCACTGTACCTTTTTGCACCATAAACTGTAGATCTATTTTCAAAACACTGAGGGGATGACCTCAAGTTAAGGACAAATTAATGGCGATGTCTCCCTTTTTTCCCCAAAAAAGTGGATAATCAAAAAAACAACCTGGAGAAAGTAACCACTGATGGAAAACCTCTCACAAACTTATACTCCGTTAAAGTCCAGCGTCTTTGAAGCTTTGAAATCTAGGACATGTTCGTCTGAGTCACAGTTTGGGACTAAAACACACAGACTGACTGACCAGGTCAACTCCTAATCATCTCAGCCAAGTGTGCCAGACAGCAGCTGTGGTTCAAAGGCTTATTCACAGTGATTACGAGCGTTCATTGATGAGATAAGAGAGGCCACTGTCATGACACCAAGTTTCACTTCTTATGTGAGAACATCTTGACCTCTTTGTCTTAAAAAAAAGAGAGAGTGCTGGAGATCATGCACCTTGGCTTCAAGAGGATTAAGAAGGGCATTCTGGACTACTACCCACACCTGAAGGATGACCTGGACGATTATTATGTCAGCAAGTCGAAAAAGGACTCAGTGATGCATCAGGTTTGCATGGGAACGACTGTGGGACGCAAGAGTACGATTCCCACAGCACCAAGCGGGTACACGTTACTGCTGGAGAAACAGGGCAACGGACCCAACTACCCTCTCCTCAACGCCTCCTCCGCCTTCGTCCCAATTCAAGGGGACCCTGGTGGAAAGCCGGACAGTCAAAAGGAGGGCAAGGAAGGAGTCCCGAGTCCCACGGAGCACAACAACAACTCCAACAATACCAGCAGTGAGACGCGGTCCCCTCCTTCAGACAAACAGGAGCAACGAGAAGATCAATCCCCACCACATCACGAGGACCTGGAGCGTGCAAGATCTGAGTACCCCACCCTGCCTGTTTCAGATGCCTCCTGCAGCACAGCGCTGTCAGGCTTCACGAGGAAGACACGAAGGATCACCCCACCGTGGAACTGCTCCACAGTCGTGGAGGGAAATGGCTCAGACAGCGGAGACTCCTACAACGGGAACAACAGCATGAAGCTACGAAGCGGCGGCGGCCCCAGAGCAAGGATCCTCTCCAAGTCAGACATTAAGAGACAGAGCAGACCCCAGAGCCCGGACTCTGCAGGGGAGCTGAGCTCTATATCTCGACACAGCCGGGAGAGCAATAGTCCCGCCGCCTCCCCACCAAACCGGCGAGTGTCAGCTGCCAGCAGCGCCAGCAGCAGACGAGCCCCGACTGATTTACAGATATGAGGACTGCTTAGAAGAAGCCATTAAAACACTATTACTGCACCTTTTTCACAGTTTAGACTTCTTTAAGAGACAATCACAAAAAGCCTGCAGAGATTATGCTTGTGCCAGACATTCTCCAGTCTTAGAAAGAGCATATGACAAACAAGCAGTCTAACATCTACTCTTCCTTTTAGAGGGATTCATACTAGGATGCACAGCCTTGTTTTCTCAGATTTCCAGGTCAGTTTCAGGCTTTCAGAATGAGCTTCAACCCTCAAACAATCAAGCTATAAAGCTATGTTAGCAGCTGACATGACTGAGTGGGGCCTCATGATGTTTGATGATAAGTCGATTTATGAGTAATTCTGAAATGTTTTAATGGTCAAATGAAGGCTGAAGGGTCACACACGCTGAACTGTTTAACTGAAACATGCACCTAGCACTGAATTATTGCTAAACTTAGCTATCACAGATAAGAATGGGTCCTTGTCTCAGAAACCAACTTAAGAAAATGCCGACTTTTATGTTTGTGTGGTGCACTGTGCGCTAAACACATCTGCTCAAATGCTTTATTAACCTTTCATTTTTTCATATTTACAATTAAAATAAAACTTGCAGGTAATTCACAGACAGTATAAAAGATGGGCAGGGAACTGTAGCATCCTCAGTGGCTAACAAGCTATCAAGTGGTAAACCAATGAGCATTTCCTGGATAATCCTTCTTCCTTAGAATATCCATTTACTTCCTGTTTTTTGACTTAATGTTTTAATAATATGACCCAAACGGAGTGACTTAACCCATAAACTATTTGAGAAAGTGTTTGCAGAGCTCAGGGCAGAGGGCTGCTTCCCCATTGACTTCTTTGAGACCCAGGTTGTTTTTGAAATCACAGGAATCACCCCCTGGTGGACATTAGTAAGAATGCAGGTTTAAAGCGTTTCTGCATTGGCTTCACTTTTCAGACCTCGAACCTGCGCCTATGTTTTATACTGTCTGAGAGTTCATAGCAAGTGTTGTTTTCTCTCTTTTGACCTCGACTTAAATAACAGTACTGACTAGGATCATTTACCTCATTAACATAATGCCTTTTATAGATTTCTTTCTTTTCTTTTGACAAGGGGGGATTTTAGTTTGCCTTTTAACTTGTCAGGGGTGAGACTGAGCGGGCCCACTGGCTGGTGGAGACTGATTTTGCACCTCTGCATCATAATTATGATTTCAATCATTTTTATGCAACAAAGAAGTCAACTTGAGTCATCTGTTTTCTTTGTTACGTTTGACATGAAATATCTTCAAGACTTTTCCAGCAGTAAATTTCACTTGCAGCAAAACATGACAGTGGTTAGAAAATAACATGCATATAAGCCACAATGATGTTTCCATGACTGTTGCCACACAAGTGAGCCAATTCCTGCCAACAAGTGAGTAAATCTGTAGGATTTACAGAGAATGGTCTGAAAAACAGAATACCCAATGAGCAGCTGTTCTCTGGGTAATATGATTTGTTGACTGGGAGCAGCCAGACTTCCCTGAGATTAAATGACAACAGTAATTGAAATAACAAATCATTACAACAAAGAGCATCTCTGAACGCACCAAAGCTTGAAGCAAATGTGCTACAGCAGCAGAAGACTACATCGTGTGCCGCTCCTGTCCACGAAGAGCAGGAAACTGAAGGTACAGTTCACACTTACTCACCAAAATCAGACAACTGAATACGGGAACAAACCTGCCTGGTCTGATAAGTAAAAATTACTGCAATGCCATTTAGATGGTAGGGTTAGAATTTGGTGTAGAAAAACAGAAAAGGATGGATCCAACATGCCTCAAGTCATGGTTCAGACTGGGAGTGGTGGTGTAGATCAGTGTGATTTTCTTGCCACACTTTGGGCCTGTTATTAGCAAGTATATGTATCTAAGAAATAACCAGAGTGCACACATGTTCTGGTAACTACTTCCTGCAGGATCCTTTGTAGCCAGACACTTCAGTCAGTCGCAGCATCTGAATTCATCCATGATGAAGCTTTAATAACAAATGAAGAATTTCCATCAGCAAAATCAAGGACCTTCAGGACAGAAAGGCTGATGCTGAAATGTCATTTTTAATTTAGAGAGCTTCTTGTTATACAAAAAAAACAAACAAAAAACAAAAAAAAACAGTGATTTTGCATTCACTGTACATCCATTGTTTAATAAACATTTACATACAAACAAGGCTTTAGTAACATTTTTCTTTTTATTCCTCCACAAAAGCAAAGAAAACCTCTACTCTGCTGCTTCCCCATCAGGCGATGGTTCATACTGCATCAGCTGGAAGATGAGGAAAACGAGAAGGTTAAAGGTCACAGAATCCAGACCAAATATAGACATGTGATTATCTGTAAACGCTCACCCTGCTCCTCAGCTCTTTGTTCTCCTCCATGAGCTCGCTGCACTTCTGTTGTAGGTCAGCCAGCTCCGTACGAAGAGCCTCTGTGTCTGCTGGCTCTGGACCAGCTGCCCCGAGATGAAGCTTTATGAAACTGTTGCCATGGTTAAGGTTAACGAGTGCATGGAAATTTTACTCATCAATACTATCTAATTTTATTAGAGCAGAACAAGGTCCAACTCGGTTCTGCATGTTAATTCAGGAGAATGATGATCCAGTTTGTAGGTTGGAGAGACTGGTGCAGGAGAATGACTCCTTAGCTTAAGAACTGTTGGCCTGTGACAGACTCACCCACTGCAAGTATCCTGCAGTATTTAAACATGTGAAGAACACCACAGAATAAATCAAACCCCATGAACAGATTACAAAAAACCCCTTAGATTTTAAATCTGCTGCCATAACAAGAAACTGGCTTTTCCACAATAAAACAGCTGAGTGATTATTTGGTCTAGCCTACATCCTTGCAGTATACCGAGATGCACAGAACATCAACATATTGATGAATTTTGATGCAGTTGATTTCCCCTATCTACATAGCTGAAGAATTGGAGATGTTAAGATTTTTATTGTGAATTAAAACTCAAAGTCTTAAAGGCTGCCATTCATCTCTAAATGGACCAGGAGTCACCTCATTGCCCATCTGAAGGTTTCAGGGGACAACGGTGCATTTAAATAATCGATTTGACTGCAATCGTAACATTTTAAGACTGATAATACCATAAATAAAAAAATAATAAACTATTTTATTTCAAATGCAGTGGTTTAAGCTCTAAACCTGTTTATATTGAGTGAAATTTTGTGAAAAAGTATTTGCCAACTTCCAGATCTTATTTTTACATATTTGCTGCATTTAAACATTCCACATGATCAAACAAATATTGGACAAAAATAACCTGAATGTCCACTTCTTAATGACTCAAATAATAATGGAAGGCTTTATCTAGTCAAAGTTTGGACTTAAACTGGCTATTCGAGCTAATAAACAATAAACACAACAATAAAAAAAAATAAAGTGTGGCTGAAGTAAAATAGTTTTGCAAAGAAGAGCAAGCCAAAATTCCTCCATAGTGATGTGAAAGACTTGTTACTGGTTATACCAAAGAGTTGCAGTTCTTGCTGGTGGCAAAACCAGTTATTAGGTTTAGGGGGAATCACTTTTTCCACATAAGGCCTGATAATTCTGGATAACTTTTTCCCCTCAATAAATGAAATAATAATTTAAAACCTGCATTTCCAATATTAAAACAGTAGATCTGAAACATACAAGTGTGACATATCTTTTTTGCTTTGAAGATAGAGCCACATCAGAAACTAATTGTTACCACCTGAGGTTGTAGTAAGGCTGCAAAAATGAGAAAAGGATACTCCAGTGCATTGTTAGGTTTCTCAGGCTCCTCATAAAGAGCAACTAAAACTGCAAGAAAGAGGGGGAGCACGGATATCAGTAAAAACAAATTAAAAGACTGTTTCACAGAATGCATTATCGTTAATGTCACCAGGCTGAACGGGGGGGTCCATTTACCGCTTGTTAAGGTGTCGAGGACTCCAGATTTTTCGAGGTACCTTCTAAATTGCTCCCGCTTCGACTCAGAGGCCTGAAAAAGACAAATAGTTGGATGACACACAAGTTAGGAGCCCATTCATACATAAAGAGCGCTATAAAAACTCCTTGCACTGAAGTGTTTTCAGCCCATGGTGCCTTCACTGCCTTCCGCCGTGTTGGCGAGCAGGGGTCACGTTGTTATGACGCTAGCTAGCTAGTTTTACAAACTTTAAATGTACCACGTAAAACATAAAAGCTACAGAAAGTAAGGCCAAAAATACTTACTCTGTATTGAGCCATGACTTCAATAATAGCCGTGTAACTCCGGGTCGTCTACAATGTGCGAAACGGAAAATAACTCGGGACTAGCTGCAGCTGTTTGAATGCTACGCAGGAGGTGACTCTGTTGCCATAACAACACATCAAATCACGCGGAAATGAAGTTCTTCCGATAAACAATCAGCTTGTAAAAGGAGAAGAAAGACTACAGAGTAGCTGTCAAAATAAGATACATTTAAACAATAAAGAAACGTAAGTTGTTCCGTTTGCGAGTAAACAACTGAAACGCCTCAGACATCGAAACGAGACGATGAAGCTGTGTTGCCAGATTTGCGTCACGGGCATGCAGAACCTACCTACATATTACGATTTTTCGTCAGTTAAGCAACAACCCATTATAATTGGGAAATAAAGCAAGCCGAATTTTGTGTTAGGAGCTCCTGTTTGCCATGTACTACTGAGTGCTCTAAAATCGAGTAATGGATTGCTCTGATACCGAAGGTATCGTAAAAATGTCATAATTCACTGTCGAAGTCTTTTTTCTCGGGTTTCTACACTGGCATATTCACGGTACTCTTGAGAGATATAGTCACCCTCAGGAAAAAAAAAGTCAAATTAAACTAACAAATAAATACGTGCAACTTCTCTGCTTTTTTTGTGTGTAATTTAGTTTCTATATTTAAATGGATTGGCCTCGCTGCTGCCACCCCTATCTGGCAACACAGGAAGGTGAACGCAAGCCTTCACGGAAGCGCGCTACCAGCGCAACGTCCGATTTATAAAACATATGAGCTGCAGTCATTGGATAGTCTAAAACTAGGCGTGGTTTATCCATCGATCGGCCCCTTCCCGGGGCTCACATGACTTGGGTGTAAAAACATCAGCACGGAAAGGAGTTTCTATTGTTTCGCCGGCTTCAACATGACAAGTGTCAAGTGTTAAGCCTCCTGTGCTTCTACCTCCAATAAACCCTATGGAATAAGAGTTTATAATAACAAGGTAAGCTGATATAACAAGGTAAGCTGCTTTTGATCGATATCCGGTTAATCAGTGACACATTGTAGCTGAGCTGTTAACAAACATTTCCTGGCTAGTGCATTTAACAGCTAGTTCTAGCTTTAATTGGAAACGTTTAAGTATATTAACACTTATTTAATGTGTCTGAATGTTGATATAGAGTTACAGTTACGTTATTTAGACATATTACAGCATGCTGTGGTGTGTCTCAGTGTGGGAAAGATGAGTTGATTTAGCTCCGTTTCCTAAAATATTTAATGATATTCATGTTACATCTACTGAAGGATGAACAGATGCTGTTTCTAAATATTATTTAGTTGGATTTATATTGAGTTATATATATATAAAAAAAAATATAACTCGTTAAAACGACAACAAGTTCTGTAGTAGGCGGTCCCCAAAAGTTTTTGTAAATGCTTTAAGAGGTTTTATCTTTCTCTGCCAGTGCTGCTAATAAGACTTATTCAGCATCACGTTGGACTACACAGTCCATCACACAATAACATAAAAACAAACTTTAACTTCCAGTTATGGATGGGAATATAATCTGCCAAACCTCGAAGCTGTGTGGATTTACATAAAGTTATGCATATGAACATTTGAGATCTGGTTATCCGTCTTTACCTTTTCAAACCCAGTTCCCTCCAAACTAAGCAGCAGAAAAAGTCAGTGTAATAATATGTTTACTATTCCTGAAGAGGTGAAATGTGCTCTGAGGATCATGATAGACTCTCACACACACACATTTGCACACACGCTCACTCGGAGTGCACGAATCACATAAGGCAATAATATAAGTTTTGTCATACAAAACTCTTAAATGGATTAACAGAATACACATTGTGGGAGCCATCTGAGGATAACTGATAATAATCAGATTAAAGTACCTGTTTAAAGGTCATATTAATTGTGGATATTTTCTAATATTCTTATCCTGATTGGGCTCACTTTCTCTCAGGGTTATTTTTTTTATTTTGTTTTAGTTCTTTTTTTGTGTGTGTGGTAACTATAAGTTTGAAAATACAAATCTGGAAAGTTCATGGTGCATTACAACAAAGAGGTGAGCCTATAAAAAGTACAGACTTTAAGTGTCATTACTTAGTGAGAGTCTCAGGTGTTTTTCCACACAGCTGGCTATTCAAGTTCGGTTACTTCTCAGAGTGACATGGCAAATTTAAAGTAAATCAAAGAGGAAAAAACTTCTTACATTTAAAAAATATTAAACTCTTTGCAGATTTAATGACTGATTATTTGCATAAATTATTGTTATTAAAGAAACATGTCAGGCTGTAGCTGGATCCAAAGTGGAAGTGGAAAACAGGGGGGGCAAAGATTAATCCAAAAACACCCACAAGGTGCTGGGGAAACACAGGAGGAAATCACAGCACACATGACAGCAAACACCAGAGCAAAACAGAAGAGAAAACCTGACACTATCAAAGTAAAACAGGAAACAACTGAAAGGCAGAAACAAAGCAGAGAGATGAGCAGACTCACACTGGATGTAGAGACAGTGGAAACAATGTGAGAGACTAAAATAAAACTGAAATAGAACCCAAAAAGTAATGACATTTCACCAGGACGTTCACAAAAAATGGGAACAGGATGCTCGAAGTCAAATGACCATGACATCAGAACCAAAACTGTAGGCAACAATAAATACTTTTTATTTTTTCACTGTACCTTTTTGCACCATAAACTGTGGATCTATTTTCAAAACACTGAGGGGATGACCTCAAGTTAAGGACAAATTAATGGCGATGTCTCCCTTTTTTTCCCAAAAAGTGGATAAACAAAAAAAACAACCTGGAGAAAGTAACCACTGATGGAAAACCTCTCACAAAGTTATACTCTGTTAAAGTCTAGCGTCTTTGAAGCTTTGAAATCTAGGACATGTTCGTCTGAGTCACAGTTTGGGACTAAAAAACACAGACTGACTGACCAGGTGAACTCCTACCGTATTTTCACGACCATAAGGCGCACTTAAAAGTCTTAGATGTTCTTCAAAAAGTGCGGTGCGCCCTATGTGTTGTAAGGAGGACGTAGTAGAGAACACCATGAGAACGTTAAAGGGTGAAGTGTGGGCGTTGATCGTATATACCGGGACAATCGCACATACCTGTCCTTTTAGACAGGTATGTGCATTATGCAGGACATCGTTGTTTTAACAACCCTGAAAATGGCAAAGAGACACGCTTACGAAGCACAGTTTAAACTGAAGGCCATCAGCTACGCGGAGGAACATGGAAATCGAGCAGCGGCGAGAGAATTTAAGATTAACGAATCGATGGTTCGCAAATGGAGGAAGCTGGAAAACAAGCTCCGGCAGGTCAAGAAAACGCAGCTGAGTTTCCGCGGACATAAGGCGAGGTGGCTCGAGTTGGAGGAAAGACTCGAGCGGTGGATCATCGAGCAAAGAGCGAGCGGGAGAAGCGTTTCGACGGTCACCATTCGGCTAAAAGCAGTTTCACTTTCACTTTTTATGAAACGGTGCCATTTTTCCATCAGGACCGGGACTACGGTAGCGCAGCAACTTCCAGCGGATTATAAGGAAAAGCTGGCCATCTTCCGCTCCTACTGCAGCAAACACATCGGCGACAAAAACATCCAGCCCAGCCACATCACAAACATGGACGAGGTCCCGCTCACTTTTGACATCCCGGTGAGTCACACTGTGGAGAAGAAGGGGACCAGCACGGTAGCGATACGCACAACGGGGTATGAAAAGTCTTCTTTTACTGTTGTGCTTGGCTGCCATGCTAATGGACAGAAACTGCCGCCTATGGTGATTTTTAAGCGAAAGACTTTGCCTAAAGAGAAGTTTCCAGCAGGAATCATCATTAAGGCAAATGAAAAGGGCTGGATGGATGAGGAAATGATGAAAGACTGGCTGAGGGAGGTGTATGTAAGGAGACCAGGTGGTTTTTTTCCACGCATCACCATCGCTGTTGATCTGTGACTCTATGCGTGCCCATCTCACAGCCGATGTGAAAAAACTTGTGAAGCAAATGAACTGTGAGCTTGCTGTCATTCCGGGAGGCCTGACAAAGGAACTCCAACCGCTGGACATCGGTGTGAACCGCCCGTTCAAAGTAAGGCTGCGAGCGGCCTGGGAGCGATGGATGACCGGTGGAGACCACAGTTTCACTAAGAGTGGAAGGCAGCGCCGGGCGAGTTACGCCACAATTTGCCAATGGATTGTAGATGCTTGGGCTAACATGTCTGCTGGCACTGTTGTTCGAGCTTTCGCAAAAGCCGGCATCGTTTCCGAGGAGCCGCACGGCACGGAAAGTGACTCTGACGGTGAAGACAGTGAACCTGGCATGTTTGATGGAGATTTAGCGCAGCTGTTCAATTCAGACACAGAGGATGAGGACTTCGATGGGTTTGATTGATGATAAAAATGTGAGTACCAAACTTTGTTTTGCTCCTGCTTTATTTTTAAATATGCACACTTGTATGCTTGTGTGTTGTTGATGATGACGATTATTGGTAATAAAAATGTGAGTAAGGTACCGAACTCAGGTTTGCTCCCGCTTTATTTTTAAATACGCATACGGTACTTGTATGCGCCCTATGGTCCAGTGCGCCTTATGTGTGTGTTAAATACAGTAAGGGCACACATAACTGAGACTGCGCCTTTTAGCACAGTGCGCCTTATGGTCGTGAAAATACGGTAATCATCTCAGCCAAGTGTGCCAGACAGCAGCTGTGGTTCAAAGGCTTATTCACAGTGATTACGAGCGTTCATTGATGAGATAAGAGAGGCCACTGTCATGACACCAAGTTTCACTTCTTATGTGAGAACATCTTGACCTCTTTGTCTTATAAAACTTTGTAGTTAGCTTAACTACAGGGTTTCGATTGGGTCGTGTGGGCGTTTAAACACATTTAAAGTTCAGTCTCATGTGTCTAAAGGCTGCTGGATGAGCATCAGAGTCACAAAATATATGAACTTGACTCTACTGAGATGCAGAGATGATTAACTAAACTCATAATAAATGGCTCTTATTGCAGTCTACCAGACTTTCACTCTTCTACTCTGGATATTAAAAGTTTTAAGAAATCCCCCACCCAAACTCCAACAGTCTAAAATTCAAGTAAATTAAGATTTACTATGATATGTCACATAAATAATTAAAGTCATGATATTTAGGAAGCCGTTCCCCAGAAAGAGGATGTGAGGAAGTAACAGGAATTGTTTTGGAGTTTCACTGATAGAGATAAACTTTTAATTGTAACAAAAACAGTGAGAAGGAAAACAGCTAAATCTGTGTGTTGGTCAAAAGAAAGAAAAGCAAATGCTTCATCTGTTGATCGGCCAATTGGCACAGCTCCACAATCTTCTGCAGTTTTCCTCTTGTTTGAAACGTTTTCATGATTTGTCCCGATTTTATATTTTACCTCTTCATTATGTCTTTAATCTTAAAGGACAGAAACAAAATGACTTCGAAAGAGATGACGGTTTTATAAAAACGTCATCTTTTCTGCAGAGCCTTTTAAAAACTTGCTGTAAGGAGCAGGATCGAAATGCAGGAACTAAGCAGGAACTAAAAGTCACTTCAGGTCATCTTCTCTCATAACAAACATACTCCAGCAAATAGATGTACCTTACCACAAAGTCAACTGTCAGTGTTTTCCATTCTGCTTTAGATCTAATCTTTATAGTCTCATTTTGCAGCTTTTCTGTGTTGTATTATCCACGATGATCCACATTTATTTCATGTTTATTTCAGACAGACTGAACATTGATTATTATTA